ATTTTCACTTCTAAAAATTTCTTTCTCTGCCTATCCTATTTCCCCATCTCACAAAACTCTATAACCACAATTTTTGCAGGACAAAGTGCTGGGAATAGGGGGTATATGAGTGGGGCTACATAAGCTACTTTTGCCCGAAATCTCAACTTAAATCTAAAGCAACACAAAGTAAAAGAACTAAAGACGGGTAAACTAGGTTAAACTGAACTCATTTATATAAAAAATTATCTAAAATTAAAAGGAAACTAATAGAACACAATAAACGAAAAAAAACAAATCAAAACGACGCCCAGAAGTAACGAAATATACTATAAGTTGCTCCGGTATACTTAGAAAATTAGTCTCAATTCACTTCAGTCATGATAAGATGCGGGCTTTTTATCGAGCTTCATTCTGATCGCTAAAAAAGTGTACACTTTAAAAAATGATTACTTATGTTATATGGGTTTTTAGCATTGTTTTTGACTGCTTTTAAAAATTCAAACGCTTTTTACAGAGAACATAAACGAAAGCATTCTTCATTGCATTCGTTTGGTAGCAATTTACGCCTTCTTTAATTTTTTATAATCAACCAAGGGGAATCCTTCCATTTTAGGAAAAATCTAATAATGAGATTTTTTGCGATTGTGAGGTGTTCGTTTATAATATATCTTATCCGTCAATTTACTAATGTTGCCTATAATGTATACAATATTATCCACATCAACTGCAATATTGTATGATGACTATGTGACTTTTGTCCTCAAATCGTAAATAAAAGCAAGTACCAAAAGAATTTTTCGAGTGTATTTTCCATAAAGTATATTTGAATTTAAAAAGGCAGCCAAATTAGTGATAAAATCCCATACTACTTAAGTAGTCACGTTTTACAGTAAATAAGTTTTAAGTAGTCAGAAAGAAGCTCTTTAAAAAGCCAGCATCTTATCGTGACCGAAATGAATTGACACTGGACTTAACGATAATCAATTCTACAACTTTATTAAACGCGGATTTGCGAGAGAGTGTCAATCTTACGCAAATGTGGGCATGTTTTACGAATTTGGAGCCGTATAGTATGTGTTTGATCGCCGAAAGTGTAATATTCTTGGGAATTAATTAGCAGATTTTTATAGTTTAATGTTTTTAATTGAGTTAACGCTTTTATGCTAGATAAACTGCGATCAGTACGTCTCAGGTTAGCTGAAGAACTCCTTATTATGAACAGCACCCATACTTAAGCATCTATTTAATTACAGACACTGTTAAGGAAATGAGATTAAATGCTGACTTTATTGTATCTCGGCGCTTTCAGTAGTTTAAAAGAGTAAAACAGTGTTAAAATTTGTCTTTTTTCGCAAGCAGCAGTGACGTGATTCAGACATTTACCGCAAATTTACCATTCTGCATCAAAATTACGTTTTCAAAATTATGCCATTTAGGCGAAACAGTAACAAAAAGTCTACGCAATCATTATCCAATACGGAATACTGTGGAAGACTCTAAGTGTCAATAAATAATTCTTTTGTACAGATCACTTTAGGAAAGCGGGTGACCCATTCCACAGACTTAGTGTTTTGCCTTAGCCTTTGTGTGGACAAATGAATACAAAATTGTAAACCTGGACGTCACTGGGATCCATGTAACCCACCTTTTGCGACAGTTCTGACAGTGACTGGTTTTGAGGAATACGAACAAACGTCGTCACTGGCGCAGACTGACACTGTTATGGAATAGTTGACGTCAGTGTATAGATTTTCAACCAAGTAGTTTCCGTCAATGGGGGCCGGGTATGCAGAGAAAAAGACTCTTTTGTCCGGGATTTTTGGATCATTTATTGCTTTTAAGGAGACCATATACTCAATCGAATCGCGTACGTTTATATCCTCGACCTGCAGTTCGGTCCAGGTCAAATTTACGGTTGTAAGCGTCAAGCTTCGAACACTGACGTTGGTAGGAGTCGTCAAATAATCTGGAGAAAGCGAAAAAGAAGCAGATAAGGTTGTATATTTTAAAGTTCAAGCGGGCTAGTTGTCGTTTTGAGAACTTTAAATTCAGATATTTTCGTTCTTCTTGTAGGTTAAGATGCTAGTGCAAAATTCTAAATGGAAATAAATATACAATGACTGAAAAGGCGGTCGTGACTGCAAAATGGTAAATGCGGGAAAAACGAATACATTCAACTGTGAGACACGTTTGGCACCAAGAAATGCCTTTCTGTGAAGGTAATGCCAACGCAAAACTTATTAATTATTGGGATGTAAACTACTACACAAAATTTTGATCTTCACGCAAAACTCCGCTAATAATTATTTTTAATATTATAAATTTTTGGAAAAAATGAACAGCGCCCCATGGATCCTAATTGCAGTGCCGCCTTCCTATCTGACATTCAACGTGAAGAAGTCGGCATCTCAGATGACGCTTATATTTTCGTTCAGGTTCTGACGTTGACTACTGTTATCGAATTTGCATAGATAATGATCCACTTGTCTGATTACTGATCACACTATATCAGACAAAGCTTTGGAGTGTCGGGGTTGAAATCCTAGGTCCATTCTAAACCCCATTCCCTAAAGCATCGAAAGAGGTGTGTTGGTCAATCGTTAAACGCTTCAAATTGCAAGCTCTCTTTTCCCCATGGAACACAAAATATGGTAATAAATTTATGGATTATTTTGCTTAAAATCATAAAAACGTGGATGAGTAAACTGAAGTAGGACGTTTTTAATAACCGTACCTAGTTCGATACAAATACTTATAGCATCGCCTTCTCAAACCACAAGATTGTTAAGCGATTTGTACGATTATATAACCTTTCAATCTCTGATACATTTTTCTAGTCATTAATTAGTTAATGTTTTCCTGTCTTGCTTCTGATTTATTAATTTCACGGTAACTGATTGTCTTTATAAAAATAGGCTTGTTGGCTTTCGATTCAAATATAGCAGCTCTTTATTCGGTAAAAGTTACTCCTATGAATCAAACCTTGTATGTTTCTAATATCTGAACCTACCGGGCTTTTTGGTTCGTATAGTGATTGAATCCGTTGAGGCGATGCAGAAGCCGAGATTTTTGCAGGCGCTGGTTGTTATGGTGTAGTACGTGTCCGGCCGTAGGTTTTTCAGCCTGCATTTATCTCGCGTAGTCGAAAAGCACTGCTGTGTGTAGCCATAGTAGTCTTTAGCGTACACGAAGACATAGCGTATGTTATGAAACGTGCTGAGTTCTTTTGTCCAGCTGATGTTGGTTGAGGTTTGCCCGACCCACTCTGGTTTGGGTAGTTTCACGCCTAAGATGAAGAGTTGTAGGCATCGCAATATTTGATACACGAGAGGAACAAAAGCACCTTGCATTCATCTGGCAGTTCAACGTAAATCGAGGCGAAATAAAGTTGAAAATCAATTCAACTGTCGTGAACAACGATATTTAGGCGGAATCTTACTTTGGGTTCCAGAAATTGTTTAAATGATCTATTGTTTTCACAAAAAAATAGCAAGTCATAAATAAACATAGAAATTTACGTACATTTATTATTTACTTAGAGTTTATTGGCTGTGATAAATTTGGATACGTTTCAATAACTTATACTTTATAGTTTATACGCTTCCTTGATATTCCCGAAAAATAATTTGGCGGGTAAGATGTCGTCTACTTGAACTTACCTGAGCTCCAACTTACCGTTCTGGAGTAAGATTAGTTAAATTACCTGCGCAACAATATAAAGTTATTTTATTTTAATTGGTTTATTTAACACATTTATATTTAAGTCCAGTTTTCAGTTTAGTTTTTAGTTCAATATTATGTTAACTACTTTATTTAAGTTTTATTATTTTTTAGCTAAGCAGTTTACCTTACTTTAGTTGGTTGATTTCATTTTTTGTAAGTCATTTTTAGTTAATTTGTTTCCCAACATTTGTATATCTGCCCACTCTAGTTATCGCGTGCGTTTTTGTTTGACAATTTGTTTTGGTGTTTCTAAATATGGCCCACAAGACTATCTTTATAAGACTTACGATCTAAATACGCCGGTCGCAAAGGAGACAAAGGTCATACAAGCCCGCTAGCGGTTAGCTTTACAAAGGTCAAATTTAGTCAACAGCGAAAGTGCAGGTCAGCGTTCGTGCATAAAGCACGACAATACTTCGAGACAATCGGCGAGACTGACTAACAGAAGACAACAAGACACCGTTACCAAAATACTCTGAAGATGGAAGTGGGAAGGTTTATAAAACGTCAGTGTAAAACCAATTCAGTTATTAAAATCGTTCCCTCCCGTTCTTTGTCTTCTTCGGGAGATGATAAACGGGAAATGTTCTATGAATACAGCTCACCTCTATATAAAGTAGTGATAATGGCGCTGTTTAATATGGTACAATTTGTCCCATTGCAAACTTCCAACGTGAAGTTGTAGGGCGTTGATGGCTTGAGTTCATTAAACACGTGGCTGTATTCTCTCATCTGGATTGGCGCTCGATATTCTACACTGCCCGCTCCCTGAACACTCACTCGAAATTCGCGTTTTTCGCCATATGCGTTAGCCATGCTTGAACTCCAGGTGGTGTAAACACTGCCGTTTTGCGTATGAGACAAGTAAAGGCGGTCTAGATCTAGGAGCAAAAACAAATAAGTCAAATGGGACAAAGTTTACCAGTTTCAGTTTAAGTTATTTGGATGCTAATTGTTCAACCTGTACATGTTTGCTAAAACATGTATTTGAAATAGTCGAGATGTTGAATTTTGTGCGACATTTGGTCTGCGGACAAACTGTGTTTAGTATGGCGTGGGCTTTATCATGCAAACACGAAAGTTATTTTAAGTAGTGCACCTCATATACCCCTAGTCCCAGCATTT